AATGGAAGTAAAAGAAAGCAATACTTAAAGTAAAAGAAAGAAATAAATTAAAAGGAAGCAAGAATACAATAAAAGAAAGCAATACTTAAAGAAAGCTATAAGCAATAAGGAAAGCAATAATACTTTTGGAGGGTTTTCCACTACCAAAAGATGAATGCTTTACAAGTCCTAAGGGGTGGTATTTATAGGCAACAAGGGAGGGTGAAAGTCTTGTTAGGTGGCCTTGAATCTTGTTAGGTGGACTTGAAAAGTCTTGTTAGGTGGCTTTGAATCTTGTTAGGTGGACTTGAAAATCTTGTTAGGTGGCCTTGAATTCTTTGATCCCCCTTTGTTTTGAGCTTTGATAATTGGCACCCCAGTAGTTTGTAGCTTTAATGCAATTGGCTCTCCAGTAGTTTGTAGCTTTGACGCAAAAAATCCTAAAAAAAACAACAATTAATGCATTATCCTTTATTCACACACTAATTCTAATTTGATTTATTTTGACTAGTTTAACTTTATTCAACTAACACAATTTACCTATTAAATTATGCCNCACCAAGTTATCCACCCTCAACCTAGTAAAACCGAACCATTGAACTCTAAAAAAGGGGAGGAGAATGAGTTGAAATGGTATATCCAACTGGAGGTTCCTCTTGGTTTTGCCAACTAAGAGATTTAGCTATTCATGCTTAAAATAAAGACAACAATATGATGAGAAGACATTATGAAAAAATAAAGACTAAAGCTAAGCATAAACGAATTGCATAAATTTAACTTCCGGATAACCACCTCTTACTAAAGATTGGATGAGAAACTACTCACTCTTCATGGCTTTGTTAAAACTAGAAAAGTGAGTGATGCTCATCCCTCCAAGTAGAGGAGTTACAAGGTAACACATTTTACACAAGGAGCCGATCTTCGACAAAGAATGAGTGAATCACGTTCCACCCTTCACGGCTTTGGTAAAGCTCTAGAAAAGTGGAAGAGTTTCACTCCTCTAAGGGAAGAAGGAAGCTCAAGCAATGGAAGTAAAAGAGCAATAACACAATAAAAGAAAGCAATACTTAAAGTAAAAGAAAGCAATAAATTAAAAGAAAGCAATAATACAATAAAAGAAAACAATACTTAAAGAAAGCAATAAGCAATAAGGAAAGCAATAATACTTTTGGAGGGTTTTCCACTACCAAAAGATGAATGCTTTACAAGTCCTAAGGGGTGGTATTTATAGGCAACAAGGGAGGGTGAAAGTCTTGTTAGGTGGCCTTGAATCTTGTTAGGTGGACTTGAAGAGTCTTGTTAGGTGGCTTTGAATCTTGTTAGGTGGACTTGAAAATCTTGTTAGGTGGCCTTGAATTCTTTGATCCTCCTTTGTTTTGAGCTTTGATAATTGGCACCCCAGTAGTTTGTAGCTTTAATGCAATTGGCTCTCCAGTAGTTTGTAGCTTTGACGCAAAAAATCCTAAAAAAAACAACAATTAATGCATTATCCTTTATTCACACACTAATTCTAATTTGATTTATTTTGACTAGTTTAACTTTATTCAACTAACACAATTTACCTATTAAATTATGTCTTAATTAGGGTTAATCAACTGCAACACGCCATGTCTCAGCAGCTGGTGTTGGCAGGGTTTCAGATGAGGTTCGAACGTTGGTTGACGTTCGAACGTCCTTGATTTGTTCCAACCTTCTGCATTTTTGCTCCCTTTTGTGTTGGTGTTACATTCAAGTGTGATTTTTGTTGTTTTTGAGTCTTTGTTCACTTTAGGACCTGAAATGTCATTACTTAAACTCTATTAAAGCACAATTAGTCCTAAAAGGCATAGTAAAATTTGTTAATTTTACGCACGAATCAACATGCCTCTGGTTAATTCTTCTTCGGATTGAATTGCGGGGTTTGTGTATAAGGTAGGAATATACCTATATGTCATGTGTAACTTTTATGAGAGTTTGAACTTAATGAATCTTTTCCAACTTATTTTACACAGGAATATAGTAATTTAATCGGGATAGATAATTTTATCTAACTATCAGAAAGGTTTGGTAAATAACTTTGAGTTTTCAGTTAACAACTTGTTTTGATCAATTAATAAGAAAGAGAGTTAAAAAGGTTTATACAAAGTATTAGGGGAAGTTGTAATCTTAACTTCTTTTATCTGGTAAATTCAACCCTTGTTTATTAAATTTAGATTTAGTTTTAAATTAGTCATTTCGTAGTTCAATTCCAATTGTTTAAATAAAATTGAATTGATACAAAGTTAGTACTTGGAAGTTATTACTAATAATTCTCCGTCGGAACAATACTCTACTTATCACTTTATTACTTATTGATCGTGTATACTTGCCGGTAAATTATCAATATCAAATTCAAATAACATACGCAATCATATATTAAGCACAAAATATGACAAACAACTCATATTTGATCAATAGAATTGGAAACAAGAGTAAATCAATTTAACTAAACTTTAGGTTCCGTTGCAATCTTAATAAAGATTTAGTTAATAACGTAATTGAAAAACACCATTCTCAAATTAAACAACATCTTAGGAAATCAAGAAGTAAAAGTAAGAGAAAAGAATGAAAACTTAGTTGCAATCTTCAATTCCTATCTAGCCTTTATGTTCAACTTTCTTTGCGTCGCTTTCTTTGATTCTTGCCTTCAATTTTCTTTCAATTCTTGGTTCTCCAGCAATTAGCCCCTCAAATTAGTATATTTCTGTCCCAACTCAAACCCTAACATATATGTAGCATTAGGGTTCAATTTCAACTTAAAAGCAAGTCTAAATTCGCGTTCACACTAAAACAAGCGCTGCAACCCCTAAAATGAGTGCAGGGGTGCTGAATTTCTGCCCTTCTAACACTGCAGCGCTGATTCCCTTTTAAGCTTGGAGGTGCCCTTATTGCTTAGTCTTCAAATAATCCAACACTTAAGCTACCAAATGACCTTGTTTCCTTCCAAATGATCTTGTTTCCTTCCAAATGATGCTCTCTACAAAATAAGATTAAAACACACAAAATAAATAAAAAAGGAACATAAAATACTTGAAAACTTGCAATTTCTTCAAGCCCAGAATACTCATTTCGTAGGTATGAAACCCACTCATCTATGTTCCAACTATTTCCTCAAATCCCTTAATGTGTAGGTAAGGATTTTCTAGTTCCACTCCATGGAATTGAGGAAATAATTGCAATATGCCCGGTTTAACTAGGAAGCTATGCAATTGAATGGGTAGAAGTATGCATGAGGGGGTGGTGCTTCAAGTAGGTTGGAGATAATCCCTCATTGACCTTGCCAGAGGATCAATTGGGAGATTATTTCCTTTATTTCTTGGAGGGGGAAATTGAATTCGCAGGTTTTGCACTCGGGGGTTTTGCATTCCCCTGTCCCTTGGATTGTTAGCTCATCATCCCCAAAATTGTCTCCGGTATCCTTGGGTGGGTCTTGGTCTACATTTAAATTGTATCCAGTTATCTCATCATATAAAATTGAACTAATTCATAAAACAAACAATCATAAAACATTCAAAAGATAACAATAACTTGTTAAGTACACAATATAGTCCAAATGATGTCTGATATATATAAATGCTAATGGGTGCAAAAATTCAAAACTTAATAGCCTTAGGACAACAACTGAAAGTTTACTATCCTAGGCCATTATAAAACCCAACTAGACCATTTCCTAAAAACAATAAAAAAACTAGAAATCATCCATCCTAACAAAAGACTACTCAGAACATCTCCCTCCTTATCTCCAGACTCATAATTAGACTCGTACTCTTCCTCCTCCTCGCACTCACTACTACCTATCTTATGTATAGTTTCCCTTGGTGTAGTCACAAAGGTAGGAGGTAGTGCTGAAGTGGTTGGCTCAATTGTCCCTAAACTAGTAGGCCCAGATGTGCATGGTGGTGGAGGGACAACTGGGAAATCCTTATTCGGCAGAAGAGCCTCAAACATTCTCTTTTGAACCTTTTCTAACAAATATAACTACCTAAGTATATGAGCCTCCATCCTCTAGATATCCATAAGACTAGACTCCATACCACTCACTCTCCCCTCTTGCATTTTAGCTAATTGTAGAGCAGTTGGCTCTAGAGGTAGGAGGAATAATGGTAGCAATTGGAACTATAGATGTAGTGGTGGAAGTAGGTCAATCTTCCTCTCTCACCAACTACTGATGGGGCCACTTCTCTAGAGGAGTCAAATCATCCGCATATATCTTCTTCCCAACCGCATTGACACACAAATGAGTAATGATGTTGCCGAAAGGCATTTTCCCCATAGGCTTACTCTCCAAAATATAATATCTAATTATGACCCACATGAATAATACTACATCTATCCTTGATCCCTGCATTACCTCAAGTAACAATATAATCTTAGGGAGAGACAACCTCTTATCAAACGCCTTTGGAAACACATGATAATGCAAAATCTTACTCATGGTCCAAAGTCAAATTACCTAGACTAAACTAAACATCAAACTGGCTCGGGGCCTTATACATAAGTCTTACATTTTCTGCTAAAAACTTGGTATTGAACTTAGGATGTGGATAATCAACCCCATTAGCTTGTGGCCTCTAATATGGCAAATACTGAGCTATATTATCTAGTGCCACCTCTATAATCTTGCCCCCCACTCACAATCTTAAGATCAGAATCAACCTCCTTCAATTCACTATAAAATTCACAACAAAGAGTTAGCATGTACCCCTTATCATTCTCAAAGAAGAAATCTAGCCCTAACTGCACTATTCGTCTCATTGACATAATTTTTCCTAGACTTATATGGTTAACCATATGCTTACATATGGCCTTCTTCCCTAAGATAATGGACTCATAAGCAACCCTTTGCCGATTCCTAGACTCAGACTCTAGAGGCTCCTAAGGAGCTGTTCACTTGTCGTGGCCTTGCCTTTTCCTATTAGCCTTGACGCCATCTGTGACACCCCAAAATCTGGGGGTCCGTTGATTACCAATCAACCTGCGAAATGCTCGTGGATACCGAGTAACTCAATATCTCAACGTTGTGCCTATTTACCGGGGTCCATCCTTTATTAAAAATTTGGACAGAGTCTCCTTTGTAAGGGAAAATCTACTCAAAATATAACCTGTGCATTATATAATAACAAGACCCATCCGAGGTCCAATATTCAACAATGACCACACCGGGTCCATTTATAAGTAAACATTGGTCACACCGGGTCCAATTATCCAAACTCATACAAACATGCAAGACTATATTAAAACTGTGCACATAGACTCTATTACAATTCCTTTACACATTACATGCAAAATTTAATTACAAGTCTAATTTTACAAAAGAAATGGATTGAAAGTCACATCGGCTTTTCTTCCTCCTTAAGTGCCCGAGTGAGTGCCATCCCTCAGCGTATGACCCGTACCTGAAATGTTTCCCATATAGGGTGAGCCAACGCCCAGTAGAGTATATCCTACAAGGGCTACTCCCCACCTAAGTGCATATTCACATCAACATTACAAGTAAGAACATGCAACTCTATATTGGAATTCACCATGTCATGCAATGAAATGAGATGGAACTCACTCATGCAACTTTAACTCGAGTCCTCACCGACTCCCACAACACAATGCAACACATATGTGTAAAACAACGTCTTTGATGAAACACATCCAAAGATCATTTTGAAATCAACCATATGTCATAAAACCATTTTATTCTTGGATGTCTCCCATCAAATGAATAATTTATATATCAAAATCATGTTCCTTTATTGGGTATCGGATTCAGGAATCGCACCTCCGGCTCCGTACGCCATTACACTNGACCTCTTACTAAAGATTGGATGAGAAACTACTCACGCTTCATGGCTTTGTTAAGCTAGAAAAGTGAGTGATGCTCATCCCTCCAAGTAGAGGAGTTACAAGGTAAAACACTTTACACAAGGAGCTGATCTTCGACAAAGAATGAGTGAATNAGAATTTCACCGCTGGTAAGTGTATGAACCAAGTGGCCGGGTTTTTCACCCGAGGGAGTGTCTAGCCCTACTTGCTATACCCAACACTAGTTTTCTTATGCATGTAATCTTGCGACCCAATAGGACATTCAATCTTGAGCCCACCCTTCAATCACCAAGAATGATGTTTGAATGAACCATGCCCAACTCATACACACACACACACCCATACTCATGCCTAAGCCCATGAATGTGATGCCTCTATGCACTACGCTACAATGTTCAATATGCTATGAATGACATATGAACAATCTCAACATATCCATGGTAAGTTATGTTCTAAACATATAGATNAAATAATACTTTTGGAGGGTTTTTCACAACCAAAAGATGAATGCTTTACAAGTCCTAAGGGGTGGTATTTATAGGCAACAANCTAATCGGAGCACGAAACAGTCCGTAAAGTGGCCTAAAACAGTCCGTAAAATGACCCTAAAATAGTCCATGAAATGGTCTTAAAAATAGTCCATGAATGGCCTTATAATTGCCCATGGAATGGCCCTAAAAACAGTCCATGAATGTCCTAAAAATAGTCCATGAAATGGCTCTAAAACATTCCATGAAATGGTCTTAAAAATAGTCCATGAATGGCCTAAAACTTGCCCAAGGAATGACCCTAAAAACAGTCCATCTATGTCCTAAAAATAGTCCATGAAATGGTCTTAAAAATTGTCCATGAATGGCCTAAAAATTGCCCATGGAATGGCCCTAAAAACAGTCCATGAATGTCCTAAAAACAGTCCATGAAATGGCCCTAAAAACAGTCCATGAATGGCCTAAAAACAGTCACAATTTCAGTCCATATTAGGCCATAAAAACAGCCCTAAACAGGCCATAAAAATAGTCCGTAAACAGCCCCATAACTGTCCCAAAAACAGCCCACATATAAACCAATTTCACCCATTAAAACATGTCCAAAAATAGTCCATTTGGATAGCCCATAAACAGCCATAAGACATCCATATTTCAGCCACAAAACAACCACATAACAGTCATATTTCAGCCACCAAAAATAGCCCCTTAAGGTAGGAGTAAAACCAAAGTAGGAAGAACCCTACCTCAATAGAAGTGTAGAATGAATACTAGAACCTCCAAGAACACCCCCAAAGCTCAAGATTTTGATTTCTCCAAAATCTCGCCTTTTGATCTTCGGTAAAAATCTTCGTTCTTGGTACCCGCGCGTAGCTCTTGTTGCGTAGATCAACTTTGATTCTTGCCTTGAGCGATTCCGACCGACGGATCTTCTTGAAT